AATACTTGGTCAGGAGAGTCAGTCAGCTGGAGGTTAATTTCCCCCTCATTTTACACGTCTTATATCATGTAAATAATAAAAAACTGACTTTCTCAAAGTTAAGTTTCAGTGTCATGCGCGATATGACCTTTGCACCGACTTGACGGAAAAAGCCGCCAAAAATCCACCAAGTGCGTGGATTGATTTATATCTTAAATGACTTAGACCCAACAGCTCTAACTCTGTACGGAAAAAGAGAGATTAACTTGTATTATTTATTGCATTTGAACGTAGCGACTTTTCGCAGACAAACAGCGCAGACGGATGAACGGTGGATCATCATCATCATCATCGGTCGACCGTATTGGTCGGGGTTATACCGCCCCTTACAAGGTGGCAGACCCTTTCGTTAGCTTAATACAAGACGGGGTTCGCCACGCCTCCGTCCGGGTGATGATGTAATCACCATGTGTAATGATGTAATCACCACGTGGCTGGTACGGAACAAAGGTTCGCCAGGCCTCCATTCGGGTGATTTGAAGTGAATCACCAACTCCATACAGTAGTGTTTGTACCATCGCACACCGGGGCATGCCCCTACTCTTTTTCGAAAGGTGTGGTGGGTTCTTTAACGTGCGTGGGGTGTGGCTCTCCCCAAACACGGGACATGAATTTAACGTCCTATCCGAGGGACGTCCCTAGCCGAAGCTAGGTACTCATTTCCACCTGAGTGAAGTGAGTAGAGTGCATTTCCCAAGGGCACAAGATCGGTGACAAGGTGGGGTTCGAACCCACGACCTCTTGGGTGTGAGCCGAACGCGCTACCGATTGCGCCACGCGACCCCACGGATAAACTTGTGGAACGGTGGATAAACTCTCTATTTCCCTACATTTTACTATTTTTAAACCCTGTTTTCAAGTATGGTAGAAACTAAGTTTTAGCTGTCTAATAACCTAGTGTCCGTATACCGAGGTTTGGGTGGTATCCCTTCGGGCGTGTAGACGATCCCCACCGACCAGTTCAGCTAGGCTTCCCGGCAGGAATTTTACGTTCTGTAGGACTTTTTTTTATTGCAGGAGTTAGATAAACTCCTGTCGTGCAATAGCACCGGGGAGCCCTGTTGAAAATGACTGCGGAGAACGTATACAGGTTCAAAGGCAACCCTCCAAGAACCACGATAGACTGGTCACCAGGCTAGCATTCTAACACCCACGCATGAAGAAAATTACATTCGAAAGGCCGCCGACAAAACTCGCAGTCTGTAAAGTGAACTAACTCGGCGGGAGGGCAACACGCTCGATCCCGCCTATTCCCAGTCAAGCACACGGTGGGATATCTTGCAGGTAGATAATGTTAATCTTTTATTCCCTTACCCCACAAACAAAAAGTAGCAACTAGTGCCTTCATTACTTGCCCATGCCGGAAGTACAAGCACAGTGCAGGTTGCCCTTGCTGCTACTAGTGATATTTTCGAAGCAGGCAATATTTTTGTCTCCAAGTCTAAAGTAACATTTTCATCCGTCTTAGTTTGTCTTTACAATAACCAGAGTACACCCTTATTGGGTTTTTATTTGGCGTAAAGGCAAATTATAGCATTTTTTCTTTATCTTCCATATAAAAACTCTCATTTTGTTCCAACCAGCAAGTAAAGGCATCAGGAAGTCGAAGGCATGAACTAGACAAAGCTTTCGAATTATAGACTTTAGTGCGACCATTATATTAAGTCATTTCAATAAGCTACATGAAACTTTATATTACCTAAATTGATTTTTACTCTTTTTGTCTAATAGCCTGGTGTCCACTGTGCCGAGGTTAAGGTGGGATTCCTTCGGGCGTGTAGACGATCCACGCCGCCCAGTTTAGCTAGGCTTCCCGGTAAGAATTTTACGTACTGTAGGACTCTTACAGCAGGATATATAAACTTATGTCGTTCAAAACCTACCGGGGAGCCTTGTTATACCTGGCTTCGGAGAGCGTATACAGGTCCAAAGGCAACCCACTCTAGACCACTAAGACACAAAATAAACTTAAAACTAGAAACCACGATAGGCTGGTCACAAGGCGAGCCACGCATGAACTAAATAATATTCCACCGTCTGCCAACAAAACTTGCAGCGTACAAAGTTATCGAATACAACATGTATAGTCCAGCCTACCCCCGGCCAAGCGCACGTAAGAATACCTTACCCGGCTTACAGGTAGATAATGATCATATTAAATCTCCTTTCCACACTTACCAAACGTAGCAGCTAGAGCTTTCATTACTGACTCATGCTGGAAGTACATGCACAATGTGTGTTGTCTTTGCTGCTATTAGTTATATTTTCGAAGTAATAAGCAAAGTTACTTGTCTCCGAGTCTTAAGGTATTTTCAGCTGTCTTTACAACTAGAGTACAACCTTATCGATTTTTTGGCAGCAAAGGAGATTTATAGCCTCCTATTTTTTTCTCTTCAAAACAAAAACTCTTAAGGCACCAGGTAGTCTAATGCACTCCCAATACAAATGTTTTGGCATTCTCTTTACCGTGTACGTGCCTTGGCTTTTGCATGTCTGTAAGTAAACTCGTGACAGTTTAATCACATATTCTTTAAGGGAAAAAAATTGACATCATGTTATTAAAACATTCACAACGATCCTAACCTTAACTGTTTGAATTAACCTTAAAAGCGTGCTAAAAGTCAGTTTTCATTATAGTGTAATGACTAACGTCACAAACGTCACGGCGGGCAGGTGGACAGGGCGGGCTATGGTATTTGTCACGGCGGGCTGGTGGACAGGGCGGGATATGGTATTTGTCACGGCGGGCTGGTGGACAGGGCGGGCTACAGTATTTGTCACGGCGGGCTGGTGGAGAGGGCGGGCTACAGTATTTGTCATAGCAGTCTTGCTGTACAGCCGCCCTGTCAAATTTTTCCCGAGATGAACAATCCAGCTTTAAGCGGAAAAGTTAGGTTCTGTGACTAAGGCTATCTGAACTACACCCATCGCTTGAGACAAGAACAGCAGAGAGGTTTCTGTTGACTCTAAAGATTCAAAAGAAAACCGCACAACTTAAGTGGGGCAAGATGACGACAACAGCGGAATGGAAACAAGGCCAGTCCTTGAAATTAACAAAAAGGAAAATGACAATTTCCACCCCCTCCCACAAACTCAAACCTTTGTTCAATTAAATAGAGCAAAAATGTAATTAGAGCGTTTAAGCTTAACAATACAATGTTTAACTAAGGACTCGACTGGCATGCTCAGACCGTGAAAAAGGACAATGTCAGGTTCGTTTTTGTGATGATTAGTTTAAAAGGTGTTTTCACCGTAGGCAAGGATTGAATTACTTTGAGTCACCGTAGGCAAGGATTGAATTACTTTGAGTCATCTTTTCCACTTTCTTTGGACTGTGTGCCGCACAAAAGACCGGGTTGTTTAAAATGACCTTTGACACACAGGATACAGACTAAAATCAATTATATTTGCGCATCGTTTGTACATGGGATGTGAGAAAAACAGTTACTCCAGTACCTGGGTATGATTTTGGAAACGGTCAGACGTTTCAGGTAGCATCAGCTACCTTTCGCTAGTGACATCGGAGAATTCTTAGGATTTAAAGGTTTATACATACGAACTAGTAATTGATATGCAAATAAAGTGAAGACATTTTTTTATAGTCAAGGGGAAAAAATTTAGACAATGTAATGACAAGCTTGATGCAAATAAGTAAAAAAAAAACTCAGAACAGGAAGTGTTGCCTGTCCGTGGGGCCCCGAGCGCTAGATCCTAAGTGCCTGAGAGATCTACTCTGTTGAGAGTGGGGTTGTACATCCTCTCATATTATCCTTTCTAACTCCCCCTTTTCACCAGCGGGTTTTACGATCTAAGATATCCGTAGATTTGAGCTTGAAAGATTACCACTGGCTGTGTTATAAGTGGTGGAAAATGGCTGAGGAGTAGCCGTTAGCGATAAGTCGGCAATGTTCCTTGTACCTTACTTTCAGCGGCCTTACTTTGTGGTCTCCTTGGGTTCCACATATTTAAGTCTGTAAATGACATTGGCCTTTGTGAGGTCTTTTTTAAGTACTAGTTGTAATACCTAGCTTTAGTACACAGTGCACTGGTAGCACCTCGTCTCAGTTCACACAACTTCACAGTGAACCAGTAGCTTCCAGTAGCGTAAAGCTTCATTACTTAGTTAACCTGGCTTTAGTACATATTGAACCTATAGCACATAGCTTCACTATACATGTAGCACCTAGCTTTAGAACAGAGAACCAGTATCACCTAGCTTTAATTAGTACACAGTGAACCAGTAACACCTAGCTTCAGTCCATTGTGAACCATTAACACCTAGCTCATACAATGTACTGCACCTTTAAAAAGAGAACACTTTAAATGTTTAAAACACATCTATACAAAAATTCAGGAGGCAGACTTTAACCCTATCTAGACCGGGGGGGGGCTTAAAGTGCCCGCGGCAACTTTGATGTCACCTAGCGTCTGAACGGCTAAAGCTAGAACCGCCAAATTTGGTGACTTTTCCTAAAATATTGTTGGCAACAAATCTGTATCAGTGGAATAAGATTATGATTTTTCTTGTTGCCATGGCAACGGGTTTCTGACAGGCATTTTTTGCCAAATTTAATTATTTCCATTTAAACAACCGAATTTTATGGGTTTTATGTCAAGTTACACATTGTTTCTAACATTAATAACATCACATATAATTATATGTAAATTTTATCATTAAAAATGCATAATTTATGCTAATTTGATGACGTCATTGGCCAAAATCCAAGATGGCGGACCATATCATTAGATCAGGTAAATGCAGCTTATTTTCCTTAAAATTTCATCAATACTCCCATTTTTTTACAAAAAAGGTTCATATGAATGTCTTTAGTCTGTTTACAATGTATTTTAGGCTTCATCCTGAAAAAAAACTATTTTTCAAAATTCAAGATTGATGATCCAAGATGGCGGATATGTAATATATGCATGACGTCATTTTATGACGTCACCGGTGTTGCTATGGGCAACATAAGACTTAGTACATCCTAATATTCTGTCATAAACACTTTTGGTAAAGTTATGTCGTATACTGTTTAGTTTTCAGGGAATAACCTATCTAGACGGTTTTGGCCAATAAAATCACATTAATGACGTCATAATGACGTCATATTACGTTACAACGACATAAAAATTGTACGTATGATAAATTTTTACTAGTACATCATCCTCTGAAAATTTGGTGGTCCTACGATATACCGTTCTCGAGTTCTGAGGGGTGGGGGGCCGAATGAGCCCCCCCCCCCCGGTCCCACCAAGCCCAAAAAAGCCCGGTCTAGATAGGGTTAATAGAACAGTCGCAATAACAACAAATGTTGTTACAGTAGGAAATACAATAAAGGAAATGTTCTTAGATAAGGGGGTATTTGGTAATTCTGTTATTAAGCTTAAGGTCCTTTTCAAAGATTCTAATCATGTCTGTGATACACATGCGTGTGTGTGTGTGTGTTTTCTTAAGCTATACCCAGGTTTTGGAAATGATCCATTTGGTTACGGTCAATATAAAGGTTCTTTTCTTGAAGTCATAATTGCTTAGTGACTGATTTATGTTTCCAAATATAATCTCCTGGTATAAGTAATTTTTGTGTCAGGGATAGGTACAATGTTATTCAGTAAGTCCCAAAAATTACCTAGTCTTTTGCATCTAAGAAACAGGTGTTCATAGTCTTCAGCTCTTCCACTGTTACATAAAGTACATGTTAAATTAAATATTTGCCCGTTATCATCTTTGATATGCCATTTGTGAGGGTTAAGAACACGTGGCAAAATCTGGTGTGACAATTTGTAGTTAACTCTGCTAACTTAATGTATTTCCATGATCTTTGTGCTTAATAAACACCATATTTTTTCCCATATAAAGGTTACAGTTAGAAATTGAGATTTTTTTGCCACAGTTGGGCAGCTTCATATGTGTCTGCATTCTTATACTATACAGGAATATGAAAAAATTCCTGGATTTGATTTGTTGTCTTCTTTTGTCATAAAAATATGGGGGGTTAAGGGTACTGATGTAAAAGGGATAAGGGTTTGGGCCTTTATGATTCTTAAGAGTCATTGCACGAGAAAACCAGGCAGAGGTCGGAAGATGGGGGTCGGCCAAATCGACTCAAACTTTGTATGTGAGTTAGGTATAGGGAACTATGAACAGCCATATATTTAAAACCCTCCAGATATTTTTCGTTATGGAGATCTGGGACCCCCTCCGAGAGCCTCCGAAAGCAGGTAATTTATGGCTGAAAATTACTGAACTTGCGATGGCTGCGCTGATAATTCTGATAAAAATATGGATAAAACGTTTATACTACCACATAGCAAAGCTTTTCTAGTTTTACAGACCCAAAGTTCAAGAGGACACCTTGAAGTTGAGAGGGTGTGACCGATCATTATCGGTCGACCGTATTGGTCGGGGTTATACCGCCCCTTACGAGGTGGCATACCAACACGGGACATGAATTTAACGTCCTATCCGAAGGACGTCCCTAGCCGAAGCTGAGTAAAGCCGAACCTGAGTAAAGTGAGGATATTGAAGTGAGTAAAGTGCCTTTCCCAAGGGCACAAGATCGGTGACAAGGTGGGGTTCGAACCCACGACCTCTGGGGTGTGAGCCGAACGCGCTACCGATTGCGCCACACGACCCCACGGATAAACTTGTGGAAAGGTGGATAAACTCCTACATTTTACTATTTTTAAACCCGGTTTTCAAGTATGGTAGAAACTAAGTTTTAGCTGTCTAATAAATAACCTAGTGTCCGTATACCGAGGTTTGGGTGGTATCCCTTCGGGCGTGTAGACGATCTCCACCGACCAGTTCAGCTAGGCTTCCCGGTAGGAATTTTACGTGCTGTAGGACTTTTTTTATTGCAGGAGTTAGATAAACTCCTGTCGTGCAATAGCACCGGGGAGCCCTGTTGAAAATGACTGCGGAGAACGTATACAGGTTCAAAGGCAACCCTCCAAGAACCACGATAGGCTGGTCACCAGGCTAGCATTCTAACACCCACGCATGAAGAAAATTACATTCGAAAGGCCGCCGACAAAACTCGCAGTCTATAAAGTGAACTAACTCGGCGGGAAGGCAACACGCTCGATCCCGCCTATTCCCAGTCAAGCACACGGTGGATATCTTGCAGGTAGATAATATTAATCTTTTATTCCCTTACCCCACAAACAAAAAGTAGCAACTAGTGCCTTCATTACCTGCCCATGCCGGAAGTACAAGCACAGTGTAGGTTGCCCTTGCTGCTACTAGTGATATTTTCGAAGCAGGCAATATTTTTGTCTCCAAGTCTAAAGTAACATTTTCATCCGTCTTAGTTTGTCGTTACAATAACCAGAGCACACCCTTATTGGTTTTTTTGGCGGTAAAGGCAAATTATAGCATTTTTTTTCTTCTCTTCCATATAAAAACACTCATTTTGTTCCAACCAGCAAGTAAAGGCATCAGGAAGTCGAAGGCATGAACTAGACAAAGCTTTCGAATTCTGCATGAAAGTTCATCTGAGTTGGTAAATTACATTATTACAAGAATGTTTTCGAATTCTGTTCATCGTGAATTTGCCTTGTTTGTGTGTAAAATCGTGACAGTTAAATTACATAATATCTGTTTAAAAAGAGAATAACATCACGCTATTCAACATTCTCAACGACCTTTTTACTTTATTGTTTGGATTAACCTTAAAAGTGAGCCAAAAGTAGTAGGTTTTAAAAGAATAATGACTGACTCCCAAAAATTACGAGACATACACAACCAATCGTTTTTTTTTATTAAATGCCTTATGAGTCATAATTCTTATATCTTATCATAATATAATCTTATAATCTAATTATAGACTTTAGTGCAACCATTACATTAAGTCATTTCAATAAGCTACATGAAACTTTATATTACCTAAATTGATTTTTACTCTTTTTGTCTAATAGCCTGGTGTCCACTGTGCCGAGGTTTAGGTGGGATTCCTTCGGGCGTGTAGACGATCCACGCCGCCAAGTTCAGCTAGGCTTCCCGGTAAGAATTTTATGTTCTGTAGGACTTTTGCAGAGCAGGATATATAAACTCATGTCGTTCAAAACCTACCGGGGAGCCTTGTTATACCTGGCTTCGGAGAGCGTATACAGGTCCAAAGGCAACCCACTCTAGACCACTAAGACACAAAATAAACTTAAAACTAGAAACCACGATAGACTGGCCACAAGGCGAGCCACGCATGAACTAAATAATATTTCACCGTCTGCCAACAAAACTTGCAGCGTAAAGTTATCGAATACAACATGTATAGTCCAGCCTACCCCCGGCCAAGCGCACTTATGAATACCTTACCCGCCTTACAGGTAGATAATGATCATTTTAAATCTCCTTTCCACACTTACAAAACGTAGCAGCTAGAGCTTTCATTACTGACTCATGCTGGAAGAACATGCACATTGTGTGTTGTCTTTGCTGCTATTAGTTATATTTCCGAAGTAAGCAAAGTTACTTGTCTCCGAGTCTTAAGGTATTTTCAGCTGGCAGGTGTACAGGGCGGGCTACAGTATTTGTCACGGTGGGCTGGTGGACAGGGCGGGCTACAGTATTTGTCACAGCAGTCTTGCTGTACAGCCGCCCTGTCAAATTTGTCCCGAGATGAACAACCCGGCTATAAGCGGACAAGTTAGGTTCTGTGACTAAGGCTATCTGAACTACACCCATCACTGGAGACAAGAACAGCAGAGAGGTTTCTGTTGACTCTAAAGATTCAAAAGAAAACCGCACAACTTAAGTGGGGTAAGATGACGACAACAGCGGAATGGCAACAAGGCCAGTCCTTGAAATTAACAAAAAGCAAAATGACAATTTCCACCCCCTCCCACGAACTCAGACATTTGTTCAGTTAAATAGAGCAAAAATGTAATTAGAGCGTTTAAGCTTAACAATAAAATGTTTAACTAAGGACTCGACTAGCATGCTCAGACCGTGAAAAAGGACAATGTCAGGTGCATTTTTGTAATGATTAGTTTAAAATGTGTTTTCACCGTAGGCAAGGATTGAATTACTTTGAGTCATCTTTTCCACTTTCTTTGGACTGTGTGCCGCACAAAAGACCGGGTTGTTTAAAATGACTTTTGACACACAGGATACAGACTAAAATCAATTATATTTGCGCATCGTTTGTACATGGGATGTGAGAAAAACAGTTACTCCAGTACATGGGTATGGTTTTGGAAACGGTCAGACGTTTTAAGGTAACATCAGCTACCTTTCACTAGTGACATTGGAGAATTCTTAGAATTCAGAGGTTTATATACGAGCTATTAATTGATACGCAAATAAAGTGAAGACATTTTTTTATAGTCAAGGGGAACAAAAATTAGACAATGTAATGTCAAGATTAAAAATAAGTAAAAAAGCTCCTGTTGTTTCAAACAAGGAGCATATGTGTTGCCTGTCCGTGGGGCCCCGAGCGCTAGATCCTAAGTGCCTGAGAGATCTACTCTGTTGAGAGTGGGGTTGTACATCCTCTCATACATATCCTCTCTAACTCCCCTTTTCCACCAGTGGTGGGTTTCACGATCCACGACATCCGTAGATTTGAGCTTGAAAGATTACCACTGGCTGTGTTATAAGTGCTGGAAAATGGCTGAGGAGTAGCCGTTAGCGATAAGTCGGCAATGTTCCTTGTACCTTACTTTCAGCGGCCTTACTTTGTGGGTTCCACACATTTAAGTCTGTAAATTACATTGGCCTTTCTGAGGTCTTTTTTAAGTACTAGTTGTAATACCTAGCTTTAGTACACAGTGCACTGGTAGCACCTCGCTTCAGTTCACAGTGAACCAGTAGCTTCCGGTAGCGTAAGCTTCATTACTTAGTCAACCTGGCTTTATTACATATTGAACCTGTAGCACATAGCTTCACTATACATGTAGCACCTAGCTTTAGTGCAGTGAACCAGTAGCATCTAGCACTAGTAAACAATGAACCAGCATCACGTAGCTTAGTTATATGGTGAACGAGTAGCATCTAGTTTCAGTATTGAGTGGACTGGTAGCTCCTGGCTTCATCACATAGTGAAATGATAACACCTTAGCTTTATTACACAGTGAACCAATATCACCTAGCTTAAGTACACAGTGAACTAGTTACACTTGGCTTCAGTCCATAGTGAACCATTAACAAGTTTTCTAGACCATAGGACTTTATGTATGTTAAAGATATTGCTTTCCATCTAGCATTTTTATTCGTTACTAGTCTCTGTACACAAGGTGCAAGTAGGGATTGTTTCTGATATTCTAGATTTGTCAGACCTAGGCCACCAAATGCAATTGGTTGACTGTGACATTTCTTTAACTCTTTTTTTCCTTTTCACACAAAAGGTTAGCATTTCTATTTTTACAGTTTCTAAAACCCAACATGGGTAATGATCATTGACATGTTGTAGATAATTTGTGAAAGAGCAAGGAATTTTAGTACTGCGACTTTTCCATAGAGAGTTAGGTCTCTACCTTTTTAGACAGTGTAATTTTAGTTGGTCTATCTTTTTTCCAGTTCAGCAGTTCATGGTGTAGGTTTCTGTTGAAAATGTAGATATAAAGGGATTCGATATGGGTTTTTGGCTAAGAGATACCAAGGGGCCTACCCATAAACCTTTGCATTTACTTATATTCAGCTTTATGCTTGATACGTTACAATAATACTGTATATGTCTGAAAGATTTTCCATAGATATCTCATCAGAGGCTAATATCGTGGTGCCATCAGCTACTCGTGATGTTTTAAATTCCTACCTCATTATGTAACTTTAAACAAGAAAGGGGCCAAATTGAATTTTTCAACACTTTCCACATCACGTCGCGCTGGTTGACAGAGCGGGCTACAGTATTTGTCACGGCTGGCTGGTGGACAGAGCGGGCTACAGTATTTGTCACAGCAGTCTTGCTGTACAGCCGCCCTGTCAAATTTGTCCCGAGATGAACAACCAAGCTTTAAGCGGAAAAGTTAGGTTCTGTGACTAAGGCTATCTGAACTACACCCATCGCTGGAGACAAGAACAGCAGAGAGGTTTCTGTTGACTCTAAAGATTCAAAAGAAAACCGCACAACTTAAGTGGGGCAAGATGACAACAACAGTGGAATGGAAACAAGGCCAGTCCTTGAAATTAACAAAAAGCAAAATGACAATTTCCACCCCCTCCCACGAACTCAGACATTTGTTCAGTTAAATAGAGCAAAAATGTAATTAGAGCGTTTAAGCTTAACAATAAAATGTTTAACTAAGGACTCGACTGGCATGCTCAGACCGTGAAAAAGGACAATGTCAGGTGCATTTTTGTAATGATTAGTTTAAAATCTGTTTTCACCGTAGGCAAGGATTGAATTACTTTGAGTCATCTTTTCCACTTTCTTTGGACTGTGTGCCGCACAGAAGACCGGGTTGTTTAAAATGACTTTTGACACACAGGATACAGACTAAAATCAATTATATTTGCGCATCGTTTGTACATGGGATGTGAGAAAAACAGTTACTCCAGTACCTGGGTATAATTTTGGAAACGGTCAGACATTTCAGGTAGCATCAGCTACCTTTCGCTAGTGACATCGGAGAATTCTTAGGATTCAGAGGTTTATACATACGAACTATTAATTGATATGCCAATGAAGTGAAGACTTTTTTTATAGTCAAGGGGAACAAAAGTTAGACAATGTAATGACAAGCTTGATGCAAATATGTAGAAAAGCTCCTGTTGTTTCAGAACAGGAGCATAAGTGTTGCCTGTCTGTGGGACCCCGAGCACTAGATCCTAAGTGCCTGAGAGATCTACTCTGTTGAGAGTGGGGTTGTACATCCTCTCATACATATCCTCTCTAACTCCCCTTTTCCACCAGTGGTGGGTTTCACGATCCAAGACATCCGTAGATTTGAGCTTGAAAGATTACCACTGGCTGTGTTATAAGTGGTGGAAAATGGCTGAGGAGTAGCCGTTAGCGATAAGTCGGCAATGTTCCTTGTACCTTACTTTCAGCGCCCTTACTTTGTGGTCTCCTTTGGTTCCACACATTTTAAATGTCACATTTTTACAGACTTAAAAGTCTGTAAATGACAATGGCCTTTGTGATGTCTTTTTTAAGTACTAGTTGTAATACCTAGCTTTAGTACACAGTGCACTGGTAGCACCTCGCTTCATTTCACAGTGAACCAGTAGCTTCCAGTAGCGTAAAGCTTCAGTACTTAGTTAACCTGGCTTTAGTACATATTGAACCTGTAGCACATAGCTTCACTATACATGTAGCACCTATACCTAGCTTTAGTGCATAGTGAACCAGTAGCATCTAGCACTAGTAAACAATGAACCAGTATCACATAGCTTAGTTATATGGTGAACGAGTAGCATCTAGTTTCAGTATAGAGTGGACTGGTAGCTCCTGGCTTCATCACATAGTGAACCAATAACACCTAATTAAGTACACAGTGAACTAGTCACACTTGGCTTCAGTCCATAGTGAACCATTAACAGGTTTTTGTCAGACCTAGGCCACCAAGTGCAATTGGTTGACTATGACATTTCTTTTACTTTTTTTTCGTATTCACACAATAGGTTAACATTTCTATCTTTACAGTTTTTAAAACCCAATATGGGTAATAATCATTGACATGTTGTAGATAATTTGAGAAAGAGCAAGGAATTTTAGTGCTGCGACTTTTCCATAGAGAGTCAGGTCTCTGCCTTTTTAGGCATGTAGTGTAACTTTAGTCGGTCTATCTTTTTTCCAGTTCAGCAGTTCATGGTGTAGGTTTCTGTTGAAAATGTAAATATAAAGGGATTCCATATGGGTTTTTGGCTAAGAGATACCAAGGGGCCTACCCATAAACCTTTGCATTTACTAATATTCAGTTTTAGGCTTGATACGTTACAAAAATACTGTATATATCTCAAATATTTTCCATAGATATCTCATCAGAGGCTAATAGCGTGGTGTCATTAGCTACTTGTGATGTTTTGATTTCTACCTCATTATGTGGGTCTGTTTTAACTTTAATCAAGAAAGGGGCCAAATTGGTTTTTTTTCAACACTTTCCACATAAACGTTTTATTCGAGGAGTCTAAAGCTTTGGTAAAATCCAGGAAGATAACAGTTCATCAATATGTTTTTGGTTTCAGCATACTCAATAACAACTTTAATAAGGTTTATATTTTGTCTAATGAATCTGCTCTTGATATAGGTTTTTTGATCGTTGTCGATTAATTTGCGTAGAGCTTTTATTTATTCTGTTGGCGAAAACGGTTATGTCTTCCTGATTCGATTCGTAATTTGTGACAACTGATTCTTAGTTTTGTAACGGACCTGTGACGTATGTTCGCTAAGTTGAGATATTTTTTTCGTTATAGGAATGCTTTAGTAATCTGTATAGACGTACTTTTTTTAGCATTCACTGATTTGCTATCATTGTGAATTTCGGATAGGAATGTTTGAAAATAAATGTCTTTTAATCGCTGGAAAATTGATGAAATGGTAGGCCATGTGTTCGAAAAAAATGATTGGGGATTTTGCCAGACGAAAGCATAACCACATTCCTCTAGAGCTCTACGTACACCAGACGCCCAGCATTTAGTACCTGAAGCTTCTATGTCTATTTGACATAGGAGGGCATCTGCTTGAAGGGAGTCAGATGGTACGTTCTTGTGGAGTCGAATAAAATACTTGATAGCGTTTAGCAAGGCCTCCAAGTGAATGGGGTACCTCCCTAGTTCTGCCCGTGCTGCAAAATTACTAGCTGTTTTTGGTATATTCATTGAATGTTTGCAAAATTTTAGATGTACAGATTCAATAGGACAATATTTTTGGCTTTTAAAAGAACCCCATATTTCGGACCCGTATAGTAGGATAGGTTTAATGCAGGAGTCAAAGAGCTTCTTCTTAATGGATAATTAGGCGTCGGCTTTGTTAAGGGATTGTCTGATGGTGAACAAAGATTTTAGACCCTTGTTGCTTAGATGTTTGTTGTTGGCTTTGAACGTACCAGCTGTGCTTACCACTATGCCTAGATAACAATATTACGTTACAATTTCTATTATTACTAAACTATTACTATTTCTGTTATTACTAAACAAATAGTAACAATTCTTAGGTAGTCTACCTCCCTTAATTAATTAGTAAAGACAATTATCTTTGTCTTTTTTAAATTCACCTTCAAATTGCAATATTTACAATATTTCTCTAATTTAGCTAAACATGACTGCAAGCCTTGCTGAGATTCGGAGAATAATACATGGTCGTCTGCATACAAGGAACTTTCTTATTGCAAAGAATAGGAGAGTCACAACAAGGATCATTAAAATTAGCTATGATGTCACTGATAAATAAATTAAACAGAGTTGGACTTAGATTACAGCCTTGTCGAACCCCACAGTTAGTTACAAACGCGTCTATAGAGCTTATTCACCACAAGTCATCATGACGTCACGACCCCTCATGTCCCGTGCGACGCCATTTTGGGGCTACAGCGCCTACAGCGAGATTCCAAGCATTGAAATGGCCGACAAACGTTAGGTAAACTGTCCTTTGTCCTATTACACGAAGAGTTTACCACCACTCATACCTCTCGTTACTGGAACAAAATAAAATCTGTTGGGATTGACCCGTTTTTGTTGAGTTTTGATCAGTCTGATCGAGACGGCGTCTACCGCCAGCGGAGTCCATTGACGCGACTTAGCTTCATATTTGGTACTGGGCCGACGTTTTTACACACAACATCGGTTCAAACCCTCTAAGAGTCTGGAAGCGTTGTATCAGGATGTGTAGAGAGTGTTGTGGGACATGCAGTTGCGTGGTGACAAGTACGTTGTAGTCGGGATACGCAAAAGGTCGCTATTTTGGAACAGCCCCGGACTGTGTCTGGATAATAACAAACAAATGCGGGGCCATCGGCCGCCGGCCGCCATCCTCAGTCCGCACTGCCGCGACTGTGGCTGGACAAGGTGAGTGTTACAAGTTGCCAGTGCCCTGTTCTACATGGACATTTACCACAGAGTACAGGGACAGGTAGCTTCAACAGATTTAACGTGTCCATGGCTATCCACGTTGACATCTACAGGGGGCGATTTACAGGCCCCTACGCCAGGGTAAAACACACCGATTTTCTGATCAGCAAAAAAAGATAAAAGCCGATCTTGAGAACATGAGACGTGGACATGGAGCCAGAACAACCCCAAGGACAATGTTACTAACAAGAAGAGTGTTCAAAACGTAGATTGTGGCCCAAAATGCGCAACTATCGCCAAGAGTTTGCATAGCGTACCATAGCGATGGGCACCATGCTGCACCCCCTAATGGCGGACAATGCTCGCTGCCGGGGGAAGAGTCACGTGACCATCTGTGGTGAATAAGCCCTATAAGGCCGCCGTTGATTTTAATGCAGTTTTTAGTTTTTGAATACATGTTTTTGATGGTCATTAAGAATTTTCCTCCAATACCAAGGTTATTTAATTTGAACAGCAAACCTTCCCGCCAAACGGAATCAAAAGCTTTGGTGAAATCTACAAAACAGGAGTAAATTCGCACGTTCTTGCTTAGGTATTTGCTGACTAGAGTGGTTAGTACAAATAAGTTATCGGATGTTCTATAGTTTTTTTTCTAAACCCGGCCTGTTGAGGTTTGAAAAGGCTGTTCTGTTCCGCATAGTTAACAAGTCGATTGTTTAAGATAGAAGTAAATAATTTTCGCGAACAACTGATAATGGAAATGCCGCTGTAATTATCAGGGAGAGAGGTATCTCCAGATTTATGTATGGGGACGATGTGGCAAAAGGAAGACTTCAAGTGCGGTACGAGACTCCTGTGTGGCATGGTATTGCACATGCGAATAGATGAATGGTTTATTCAAAATAATAACCTCTCTCACAGCCTATTGGTTGAATCGCAGGTTCCTTACAAATATTCAAAAGTAGCATTCATTTCTCAATACATTTTCCTCAATATTTAAAAACAATTCTATCACGTCCGTAAATAATTTGATCAGGTTGGTAAACGGATGAATATCAAAGTTCTTTCATCACAACCTTTTTTTTCACGAGCCGGCCGACGTTTCGATGACCGTCTGTCATCTTCATCAGGGCAATTCTGACTGGTTTGCTGTGCACTGTCGACCCTAGATATTACTTGGTGCGGCTAAAGTGACACCTTTAGTGCACTTCAGTTTCAGTTTTATTCAGATCCACAATCAGCCTCATAAGAGGCTATTCTTCCTGTGGTCTACACATTCATATTTACATACATGTATTACAAACGTATTACTTAGTGTTCAAGTTCTGAACCGTAATGTTGAGTGAAGGCGGTGGCGGGGGAATCCTCATAAAACAAATAGTCATCTTACATTTGTCACCATTAAAAAGCATTTAATTTTCCTTGGACCACTGACCGAACTTGTCAACTATTTTTGCATGATGGAACGTTCAAGGTAATGCATTAATTCCGCCATTTTCAAATCAGAGTCGTCAAAGACCGATACCGATACCAATAGTATTGGCCCAAGAAGTGTGCCCTGAGGAACAGAATAAGTAAGCATCTCCCACTCTGACAGTTATCCGCCGTAACTAACGCTTTGGCGCCTATTCGACACAGATCCAAGGGATGATGCTAGGTCTTACACCGAGTTTGATAAACTTGCTTGTGGCTACAGTATGATCAATGCGGTCAAAGGCCTTGGAAAAATCTGTCATGACCAAGGTTGTGATGTCTCCAGGCTTTCCAGATTCTCTGTACAGGTAACCTGTCAGGCTCACGAGGTAGTGGGTAAATGTACTACTATGGCGCCCTCCCATTCCTGTGGCACGTACCCTCCCCTCAATGATGCGTTTTGTGTGTCTGAGAACGGTTGACAAAGTTCATATATTAATCTAGACATACTGCACCCGAACGTCAGCCGAACCTGGTCGTGATTTAAGGACGTCTCTTTCACTCTCTCTCTCTCTCTCTCTCTCTCTTTCTTTCTCAAATATGTTGTGTGTGGCAGGGGAGGGGGGCGTTCGGCTAGTGTTCGGAGGCCAATTTCGTGTGTGTGTTGAAGGGGCTTTAAACATCGACATAACTTACCATTCTCTGACAATATAACTTAGATTTAAGTTCATAGCACTACCCTTTTTAACGAAATTCTTTATTGCTATATAGTTTCTTCGCACTAGGGAACTGTATAAAGTATAAATGTACACGTCTACCCTCACATTTCCCGATTGATAAGTTAGTATGTGGAAAACAACTGATAACGGATTTTTCCACAACTTGTCTATTCAAATGGAGCCTAATTGTCAAGTGGCCTGTATCATACATTGATCACGCAAACGTCATCAGGAGTTCACGTGAACAGCCACGTCTTACACACTATAGGTAATTTTGTCTAGGAACGCGTGGTCTAAGTTTCAACCAATCACTAAATAGCGTCCGCGTGACGCCGTTGTTTTCTGGGAAAGCGTTGTGTAATTTTCCACCACTCCCATTGTAGAGCATCCGGTGCCAGTGCTATAAAAGGGGCCCATTCTATCCGGTTTGCCCATTCCCACCTTCAACTCCGAGGCACGTCCAGCCACGAATCACATCGACCCACAGGCAAGCACGAGGTACCGACGCCCGATCCTCTACACGGCGTCTGAACACTTCTGCGGTGAGTGGAATCTACTAATAGATGTTTTAAAATACCTACTGTTCTTTACTGTTCTTGATATATATTTTACAATTTTGAGAGTACTCTCTACCAACAAGCATAACTGCATTCGATTGTGACTGGGTAAGCAGTATTTCTTACAAACAAGCTCCTTGTGAAGTTTGGCTTCGATTCACAAAGTACGGTTGACCTTTCTACATTTTCAGGCTTTTTGTGTCCGTCACAATTCCGGAAAAAAAATTTGTGTCCTTCACAATGCCGTAAATTAAGTCATTTGGCACTTTTCGATATGACTTCCAACACAATAGGTTGCGGGCTATGACACATTTAAACATGTATCGCACAATGTCATTATTCAAAGTCACATTTTTTCTGAATTCTGTTTCATTCCACAACTTAATCAAATGCTGCACACTTGTCTGAAACCACTATTGTTGCACACTTTTTAGTTTCGTGTCGCTATTTTCATTCTCTCATTGCACCCCCGCATAAGTAGTGCAAGATCTGGTCCGCACGGTCCCAGCTTTGCGCTCCGGGCAGCACGGTCCCAGCTCAGGGCCGCACGATCCCAGCTTTGCGCTCCGGGCAGCACGGTCCCAGCTCAGGGCCGCACGGTCCCAGCTTTGCGCTCCGGGCAGCACGGTCCCAGCTCAGGGCCGCATGGTCCCAGCTTCAGGCAGCGCGGTCCCAGATCCCGTCTTTTAGTGCCAAAAACAACCCTCCGAGGGACCGCTTAGGCCTCGATTTTAAATTGTGACCTAGGCTTGATCCGCTCCTAGCAACTTGCGTATGTAGTTAACCCTTGACAGATTTGGACGGTTTTGGCCAGGTTGAGAACAGCTACAGGGCGGGCGGGCCTCACGGGCGTGGACATTTAGGTGACCTAGTAGAAAAAGATGTAACCTTTGATTGTAACCTTTCAAATTCGTGAACGTGTAGTGGCCGTCGTCGCACATCTCAGAGAGGCTTGCTCGTGTCTTCAGAATGTCACTGACTTGCGAATTGTCGAGATTTTTGTTAAAGGTTTCGGTCGGTGGTCAAATCTGTTGTCACATGTGTAGTCGTCACATTGTTTTTGACTTGTAGTCACATGTATAGTGTGGTGTGTAAACTACGTGACTTCTTTCCACGCCGTCATTCCTCTATTTGTCTGATGCAGACTGCAAGCCCGTCGTTATAAATACTAAAGTCCGCAGTGCTGAAACAGCCAAGCTTGCGGTCTCGAACTCACTGACTCCCGTCGCTGTATGCACCCTAACTCTGCCTCGCGTTTCTGTGGCACCAGGACGCCACCGTGTAATCGCTCACCTCCCGAACCTGTTAATTGTAATCTTTATAATTCGTGTACGTATGGCGTGGATCACGGTGGTCAAATTTGGGCCCAAATATTTTAATTTTTTTTTTTCGTACTGATTCATGTTCGATGACGGCATTCAAACCAAATGCCATTTACTGTAAACTCGCGACTTTAAATCCATTATTATAAAGTACCGGTTTAGAGTAAAATATCAACTTTTCACAAATATAAACCGATTTTTCGGGACATTACATCTGTGCCATCATGTTGCAGTCAATATATATCATGTAACGAAGCCATCATGGGTGTGCTTTAAAATCATAATTGTTTACGAGGATATAAAAAATTTTATTCCCACTTACCCACGTGGCCTGACATGCTTTCAAACATGGTATTTCAATCGGAACAAAAACAAATTCAATTTACCTCAAAATTTAAATTGTAGACGAGGCATAAATTATTTATTTCACACACATTTCAGTACTGTAAACAAAACAACAGCATTTGAGGTATAGGTAGTGCAGATTTTATCTTATTTGGACAAAAGTCCCTGTAAACTGTTTCTTTTTTTAAGAAAATATCTAGCGTTTAGACTGGCTCCACGGAACCCGCACGCCGAACCCCGTGTAAAGTTTAGGTCCAAATTGTGCCGGTGCCCGTCGGGATGTAGCACCGGCCTATCCCCCGGCTCTGTGTGCACCGGGCACCGGCCGTTGTGGTCAAAATTGAAATTTGCCTTCACGCTGCACTGCAGGGGTGACGGGAGCTCCCTCATTGGTCGGCCTCCGGCAGGTACCCGGCAGATGCTCTGATGATGTCTTCTTATGACCCCTGTGGAGTCAGAAAGGGTAACGCGTGCTTATAACATCCCGGTGGGGCACATGTAGGGTCCCTGCCGCATGCCCACGAGCGACGGTCAGGCATTATAAAGGCTTTTGGTGGGCACTCCTCTTATTTGGAGTCAATATAAACAAACGCTGCTAGGACTATTTACATTTATTTAGTACTTTTCCTGAGAGAACTGCACGCGTCTCACAGACAACTATCACCCATGTTGCACGCAGAAGATGCAGAAGACGTAACAGATGAGTCCCGGTGGGTTGTCGGCAACCGTTGGGGTACCTCCTGGTGTTCCTTGGCTCGGTCACGGCGTCTTTGTGTCAGCTGGGCCCGGATAGAATTTGAGTCAAAGTTGAACACACAATTTCACACAATTTTCTTCCACAGAAGAGTTTCAAAAAGACACTTACTCAACTTAATTAAAATAGAGAATAGCTTGCGGCCATTCACAAATATCACTTTCATTGGAAATTCGGTTCTTAACAAAGACATTGTAACACATCTAAGAATACAGCTCCTAGTTGTTACTTTAATTTCGCTACAGGTGTTACCCAAACCCGTTTTACTGCTAAACAATGTGGCACGTACATCTGTGAACATGGTCAAGATTGTAGGCAACATCTTGGCAAAACTTTAGTATTCAAGATAGGAAAGGAAAATGTATGAAGATCTCAATGTTTTTTTTTAAACTACAAACATAAGCTCAGGTTGACGTAATGCATTATTTGTCGTAAGAATGTAATACGATACGGAATTACCATGTATATTCACCGTTTGCTAAAATTAGTGATACCTCAAATTTTACTACCACAACTATCATATAAATTATCTGTCATGATATTCTCTAGGTTTTCAACCTTCACCAGTGCATACTACATCAGAATCATGGCCGAAATACCAAAGGTAATTAACTTATACTAATTTTCAATGTGTAAATATTTTGAAATTTGATTTTAAAGTTTATCGAAATAAACCATACTTATGTTTTATTCGACAACGACGAACGTGTGGCTATGTATATACCGGCATACAAAGTTGTGAAAAGAGATACTTCTAATGTCTACATTAGCTCTTCCAAGTTGTTTCCCTGAAAAGCAATCACTTTATTTCAACAGCAATGTTAACATTGTAAAGTTACAAATGTTATCAATCTAGTAATATATGGAAAAATAGTACTTAAATCATAAGAATGTTGTATATAAATTACGAAGACTTGTCATTGTAAATGTCCAACCTCAATCTACTAATCAATTTTCCGACATTGATACTTTGCTGTTATAGAGTCCGTTCTATATCATCAGCAACATGACTGGGCACGTGTTGAGCATTTGTGGCCAGAGCAAGACCTCTGGGGCTAAATTAGTCATTGAGCCGAAGAATACTCAAGACCCCAACTACCAAAAGTGGACCTATGACGCAACGGTATGTCTTACCATTTATTTAGTGTAAGGTACATTGTTTTAAGTTTCCCCATTTTAGACAATTTAAATACGTACGACTCAAACATATACTTAATGTAAATAAACGAATACGGTAGCCTATCATGATAATATTGTACCAAAATTTCGCTATAAACCCAGGTAACAGAGACTTTTATATACATATTATGTTTGTTTTTTTTAGAAAAAGACCTTTCAAAGCCAACTGACGCCGTATTTCGCCATCACCCTCCAAGGAGGGACGTTTGCTACTGGCGCACCGTAAGGAAACGAATTTGCTTTAATGTTTTTAAAATGTTTAATTCTAAAAAAAATGGTCCTGTTTTGGAAACTGTATTGGACACATCAGTATGAAATGCAGCTGGTATGTACCTGGGCTTAAGATTTTTTTTTACTTTTACAAAACATTTTACTTTTATAATAAACTGTTACTTTTTAAGTTAAAATGCCATGACCAAAATACCTAGACTAAAGCAACATGTGTACACAACGACACTCTATCCACTACCGTTCAATTGATGATATCAAGCACAACAGTATTATGTACTTGTCACTGCAATATATCAAGCGCACGAGTTGTCGTAGGTGACATCTTCACAACATTTTCGCTATTTCGCAGCATCATCAACGAGACATACACTGCTGGACAAACCTACCAACAGTGGAAAGCTCCCTTTGATTCAACCATCCAGTCGGCAAACGAGAAAGGCTATGTCATCGGTCTTAAGGGCGGATCGGGGGGTAGTGGAACCGAAGCCGTGCTGACAACCCGTACTTCCCAACCTGAGCCCCATGCCATGTGGCGTTTCGAGGAAGCCTAGAGGTGAACTACGTACCTTAACTTTCTCATATTATACCAAATAGACAATTTATTTAGGGTCTATTCTAGAGGTGCAGTGTCAGCAATAATGCATTGTTAATTGAGTCATTTTATTGGGATATCTTTCAACTGTTTACATTAATCTCAACAAGCATTCGAATATAACGCTATATTTTCAGACATATGATACATAAAGTTAAAAGTGCTCATAATACCAATTTTTCTTAACCCTAAACAGTACACCTGGGGTCCGCGCGGACCCCAGCACTATATATTCTGTAATATCTTTTTTGTTTCTAAAGATTTTTTTCTGAAATTTTAGGTAATTGTCACCCACAAAGTTGTCTCTCAATACAGTGCAGAAAACTCCGTTTCTACCATTTATAAAAAAAATTATATCTGATTTTCTTTTGGGGTCCGCGCGGACCCCAGCCGGCTTTCGATCATAATGGATACACTGGCGTTCTTATACATTACCTTATTTCTGTTTTTATATGTTTTCATGCACTCATCGTATGTCTACCATGTTTTCAGAGAATGGTGTAGTAATAGAATTAAATTTTAATAACTTTGGTGTAATTATGACGTCATATAACGTCAGAGAGAATAATATAGTCCGCCATATTGGATTTTGACAAATGACGTCATCAAATTAGCATATTCTATGCATATTAAATGATGTAACTTATATTTAATTATGTAAGATGTTATTAATGTTGAAAAAGAAGTGTAATTTAAAATAAAACTCAGAAAATTTTTATGTTTAAACCTAAATTACTTCTATTTTTAAAAAAACTGCCTGCTAGAAACCCGTTGCCATGGCAACACAAAAAAACATCAACTTACTAGTATTAAACTAATATGAACTTTTTTCCAGAGACATTTTAGGAAAGGTCCCCAAATTTGATACTTCTAGCGCAAGCAGTTTAGCCGCTATCTGAGATCAAAGTTGGGCCTCAAAAGCCCCTTCAGTCTGAAATGGGTTTAAAAATCGGGTATTTCTTCTTGTCTTCTTTTCTTCACCAAAAAATAGAAAAAGTTCAAAATGTATGATTTTTGTATGTAATGTGGACACACAGGTTCCCACATCAGTTTGCAAAACAATTGAGCTGGTAGCATGTTGATAATTTCTAAAAATAGACAAAAACTGCTCTGGGGTCCGCGCGGACCCCAGGTGTACAGATTAATCAGTCTGGGAAGGTGTACTGTTGAGGGTTAAACTGTCATTCACTGTTTGCGGAAGCTCGAGTAAATTTAAAACAAGGAAATGGTGATTTCAGATGTTTGAAATCCTTGCTATAGCATGGCAATTTCTATTCATTGACTTGGATCGCCTACTTTTGACTATTTGGGCCATTTTGTATTTCCGTAAAATCGGGTTACAGGTAAGTGTAATCATACGACAAAGGTGCATGTGTGCTCTACTTATAAGAAGATAGTATACTTGAATTTATTAGACAAAGGGTTTAAACGTATTTTGTACATACAATTCATTAGGAAGCAGTGTTGATATTTGATAGGTATAACATAAGATGTTGTTTCACATTTCCATGCAGGCCTAGGCCGTGATACGACTGACCCACAACACAGAACCGAACCACCCAAAAGCTTTCCGCGTGCGCAGCAGTTTTTTCTTTTTTTTTTTCAGAGAGACACGTGTAGTCAGAAACAAATAAGTACATTTTAATAATCCATCTGTATCCTGTTGATAATTGTTTGGGTCAATCTACTTATCCATTATTCAACATAAATGGTTTCATTTAAAGACTTTAGTGTCATCTAAAGATCCTGATTGCCATCCAATTTGACTTGGGGCTTCTTATACTCCCTGCACCAAAATAGTGAGCTAGTATGGGAGCCCCGGTAAAGGATGGCACCCAGGCTGGATGTTCTTAAATCTCCTGAAATCTTTTTAGAGACATTTGATAATTCTTTTTTAGAAGTGATTCTAATGTCACTTACATGCATACTTTAGTTCATTTTCATATCATAGTAGAGGTTTGGGACAAGTCTTCCAAATACACAGTCTACCCGGGTATTCTTCCCAAATTTTCAACTAAGTATTGCGACTCAGTCTGGTATTCTGCATAGTATACAGAATCTATATCAGGTCAAAGAGATGGTTGAAAATTTGGTAGGTGAAATTCAATAGTGTTTGAAAGACAGTTCAAACCTTTCTTTTAACATTTTGGAATTTATAGGTATTAGTAAGCTGCTTTTGCTTTGGCTTTACTTTTCTATAATGGTTGCAAGTACAAATTCGATACAAGCTCTCCTAAAACCATCTGATTGTTTCACAGATTTTGCAGGAAGGATTAAAATGGGCTATTCAAATTTAAAAGCAAAGAGTCTCTTCTATAACAGATATGCTACCTGATTAATCATAAAAAAAGTAAAAAAAACTCTCTTCACACTTTTTTTGGCAAAATTCAACCTTTAGGACACGAACTTAACTAAAACATATGCCCCCAGAACTAATAAAGCAAACAAATATTTCCATTTGCATGTGACCTTTTAAACAACAAACATCGAAAAGTTTACCCAAGAAACAACTTCTTGAATTGACCTGGCCTGATTATTTAACATCATTTTGTTAGATTCAATAAAGAAAGGCGACTTTGTGCTGTAACATCTTTGAGATTACATAATGCCACCTGAATGTACTCTGTACAACATTCCATCCAAGAAGTTAAACTGTGATCAGGAGTTTTCGAGAAAACATCCTAACACAATGGTCCATTAAATTTCGAAGCATATAATCATTTTTACGTTGAAATTTCCCAAACTGTCAAATCATATCAAATTTTATATCTGTTTCATCATCTTTAAAGTTAAAATCACCCAAACTGCCGAATTCGATTTGACCGGGACTTTAACCGAGTCATATACAAAACGTTTCAGTACAGTTCAAGCAAAAATTCTAATTTCAGTGATTGAATTTCAGAAACAGACTTCCCGAATTTAAACTGACCAGTGATCTAAGTTACTTTGAATGTCATTCATAACTGTGGAATCTGTTACTGCTTCAGGATAGGAAAAAAAGAGAGAACCTGTACATGTTTAAAAAACAACATCCTTAACATGATCTGCAGAATATAAAAACACCATCGATTGAAATGTTTAACATCTCTACATTAACATGGTCAACGGGTCATCTTGTGTGCCAGAAATTCCAGAACTTCTGTATTCTTTAACAACAAAACTCGTGTTGATAGAGGCACATGGATAGGTTAGCCTTACTAAGCCGGCAATGTACAGGCTAACCAATATATGTAACCTGGCCACCACTATACTAACAACTGGTAACTGAGTAGTAATATTCTACACACTGTCTTGTAGTTTCTAATTCTACTGTTATCCTGAAACAAGCAATGTGTTAATAAACATCATATCGTTGCTGTTATGTCATCTTTATATCTATCATCCGATATGAAAACATCTTGTTATCGACATTCATGAACACTTAGAATAAAACTTGCAACCAAAGTTTTCTGTTTTTGTCCTTATTCATGCCCAGTATACCGGGATGATGTTGTGTGCATGGGTGAGGAAAGAGAGAAATTGTAAGGTTTATCAAATGTGCCAACACTACAAGGGGGTGAGAGATGAGCTACATAACCTAGGACAATTACCTAGTACATCAGTATTGAATCAAAGCAAACATCTGTCTCTTATCAAAGTAAATGGTATGGCCGAAGTTATAGTGTTTACCATAGAAAAATCAGTGTAATTCAGCTTAGTTGACTTGTGAACAGGCTGCAAGGCTGATTTTATTAATAAACTTGAACTTAAAAATAATATTTAAAAAAACAATGATGGACTCAATACGTCTCTATATAATAGTATACATAGGTAAGAGTGACCAAAATATTATTGAAATAAAGTTTGAAAGAAAATCATACGGTTGTAAATGATTAATAAAATCCAGTTAATACAGAGCAAATTGTTGATTCCTAAAATACAGTTACTGCATCATGTTACTACAATATCAAATAGCAAAATTCAGCCCATTTAACTCTTATAACAGTAATATTATCATTACACATGATCACCAAATTACTAATTATTTAAAACTACAATTTAGATGGCCAGGATAACTTCCATGAAATAATCTCATGGCCTCATTTTAAACTGGTAGGAATAGCCAAGACTTCCAACAGACTAACAGATTAACTCTGCGTGCTAAATGAACCCAATGATAAATGATAAGGGGAGGGTAAGACAATACTACATTGAATGGTCTTTACGAGATAAACGCCAACTCATTGAGTCTGAATAGGCTCACATTAAAAGGTGAAGAGACGAAGACTATTTAATGTAGTATTCTTACCCTCCTGTTAATCCATCTATAACCGTTATCTCAGCGGTAACTGCACAGTCTCGGGCTGTCTGGAGAGTTGTCTGTACTCAATAGTCTCCAAGCAGATGTAACCTATACCTGTTTGTTTGACTTGGAATGGAATCTAACATATCATGCTAAAATGAGCGGTGTTACGATTCTTGTGAGGCTTAAAAAGGCGAATTATGAACTCGTGGTCCTTATTGAATATTCACCGGTTATTTGACGACAGACATTCGAAATACACATATGTTATCTGCGTCACGCTAACAGTTCACAACCATAAATTATGATACTCGTAAATAATGCATAACTGTAAACCATTTTCTTATCAATGTTAGAATACTGTGCTTCATGAGGCATTGCACTTCTTATCGTGTGTAGTGGTTACAATTTAGTTTTAATTAGCTAAACCGAGTAATATGGTGCGCATAAAATGCAATGAATTTAAATGTTTGTTATGAAATATGCAATTGATCCTCCGGGCCACAAAAAGTTTCATATCAATAAACCAGTCATCATACATCAGGCCTTCTTTACAGCTGTAGTTCCAGTGTAGGGGGCGTTCCCTGTCCCCAAGATGACCTGGCGGGGCCTATCAATGTGACGCCTTATGGGGGAAGAATGGTTGAGGGAACATTTTCAAGGTCACGCGATCC